TGTAGGTGAGGTTGATTAAAGATAGGGACACTGGAGGAGGTAAAGGTTATGCTTTTGTGGCATTGAAATTTAAGATCAAAGGAAATTGCTCAAAAAACTATTGAAAGATTACATAATTGTGGGTTTCAGAACATTCAGCTTTAAGCCAATAAATTAGGCCTATTTACAGGAATAAATCTCACAGCTAAGGTCATAATTCATCTAATAACTTTTAAAACTAACTTGAAACCTATCCATATTCATTCTCACAAATTAAATAATCATCCATTTAATCACATTTTTATTAATAAATTTAATTAAATTAATTCTTTAAAAACTGTAATAAATTCACCAAAATATTGGAAATCATCACATAACAAGGAAATTAAGGTATTTATGATGCTGTCTGAAAATAGTATTTTCCTTGGCAGTGATGATTTTCAAAGTAACATTCTGCCAAGAATCTTCATCTGGTGTTTAGTTGTTATTATTTGTTCGCCATGATATCTGGGTAAATCTTTAAGGTGTTCGCTATCTGAAAAACAAAAAACAAAAAAAAAAAAAAAACAGATTATTCATTGGTGATGTTCCAAAAAGCTGTACAGAGGATGAGTTTAAAAAGGTCATAGAGGGTGTTGGTCCTGGAGTTGAAAACATAGAGCTTATAAAGGTACTTCCTTGACTGATTTGTGCTATTAGCTTATGTTATAATGTTGCTGGACCTACCTTTCTAGTTTCCTTCCTTTACAATTGTATCAGGACCCTCAAATCCAACTAGAATTCATGGATTTTCTTTTGTTTCCTCAACACATATTAAAAGTGTCGTAGATATGTATGAATTGTTTACATTACCAACATTTCAGGGTGCTGTGTATGCTAAGCAGCTAAATAATATCTTGCTTTTTCCAGAAAAATGGCTTCAAAATAGTTGCTTCTAATATGGCGGGAAAATTCCGAAGAACTTGTTGGTGGATGACACAGAGTTTAAAATGTCCACTGTGTTTTGTCTTTAAGAAATTTTTTTGGGGGGGGGGGGATTAGAATGATAAGTGGATAAATTCTTGATTACACCAAAGAACTGTACTGAAATTTCATACTGTTCGAAACAGGTAATTATTAATTTTACAAAGCAGCATTTGAATGCCTTTTTTTTTTGTAAAAAAAAAAATTGCGGGACTTGGATGTGTGGATTATTATTTCTGTAATTCTGATAGAAATGTGGAGCACATAAACGAAAGGGTGTACCATTCTATCCATGTCATTTCTTAGATCTCTTGGTTGTGTAGGATTATACTCCTAAGGTCTCAAATTACAAGATACTTTTAAAATAGATTTAATATTTCAAAATATAAGATACTTTGATAAAAGTAAAATTTCATTAATGATACTTTTTTAATATTACTCTTCTCATATATTATATTTTTTCAATATTCTTTCATCAATGAGATATTAAATAAAGGGTATTTTTAAAAGTTTAAAATTTTGTTTTGAAAAAGTAAAGTTATAAAGTGTATTTAATAAGTTTTATTGATACGTGAGATTTTATCTAAAAAGTGTTTTATAATTTAGAACAGAAAAAGTAGTGAAGAAGTGTTGAAGCAAAGTGGAAGTTCAAGATAAAATGACATAGAAGTCTGAGTCTGAGACTGTAATGATCTCTTTAGGGATGCAGGCAGGGAGAGAATGACCAGGCACAACGTTTATGATTTATCAGTTATGCTGTTAAAACTGTTTCTGTCATATTCGGTCATAACTAACTAATTTTTCTGCCCAAATATTAATTTTTATGTTCTTTTTGCAAACTATTTTGGTATTTTCAGGTTAAAGCTCTTTACATGAAGAACAAACCTGAGAGTGCTGCAATTGAACAGCTAAAGAAACTACTCTGTCGGCATGGGGAAGTAACCAAAGTGGTCGTGCCACCTGGCAAAGGAGGAGGGAAATGTGATTTTGGTTTCATTCATTATGTGGAGAGGTCCAGTTTATTGAAGGCTGCAAAAGATACAGAAAAGTATGAAATAGATTGGTACATTTTCTACATAACATAGACTGGCCTGCTCTCTACGGAAATCTATGTTTTGTTTTCCTGTTCCTTTTTCTTGTGCAAGTATCAGTTGAATCTGTTGGAAAAGTGACTGGGGGATGCAATGTAAAAGTGCAACCATCTTGCTTATTGTACATTATTTTTACTTTGAGACAGGCTCTTCATTGTATTGGAGAGGTTCACTTATGCTTGACGACTTTAAATTGCAGGCTAAGCGTTGGAAGTTGTTCTTGCATAGCCTCGGTCCCATGAGGACTCTGATGGAGCTTATGCCTGTAGCTACAACACCAGCCTTCATCTGAATCATCTTCCCTCCACTTCCCTGGATTTGGCAACTTTTCAGGAAACATATATGGCTCTTTAGGGGCTGGATATGCTGCCAGCATTGGTTATCAACAGGTATTTAATTAGTGACTCAATCAGCGTTAAAATGAACATGTCGAGTTTTGTTTGCTTTCTTTCTTGCTTCATATTATTGACAAATCAGCAGAAGAAGGTGCCAATTTTTTCAGCTTCAAGGTAGAAACACTCTGCTAGAAAATCATATCGGAACCACAAGCATAAGGCTAGTGAAAAGGCAGTGATATTTCCAGTTCTCTTACCCCTGCTATTTGTAAGTTTTCCTTAATGAAGGTTCAATTCAATTATCAACATATAAATCATCTGTTTGTTTGATATATTGGAAGAAAAAGGACAAGAGGGTAATATTTACTCTGAGAAAAACAAAAGTTATTATAAAGCAACATTTTAGGTAAGATAAGCCGTAAGAAAGCACCTCAATCTTGCCATACATTATACATAACCTTTCTCTAAGGTTGCAGTAGAAGGATGATCTGTCAATGAAAGTGATTGGTAAGATAGATATCTCTGTCATCTTCAATTTGTCACCAGAGGTCAAAAACTAGTGAATATCTTGCGCGTGGCTTCTTTGGCACAAGCTTGTTAATGCTAGACGTAAAGGTTAGCGAAAATGACAATTGAGACACGCAATTATTTCTTTTGAAAGTAACCGCGAATGTAAAAGACTGAAGGCTCAGTAACAGGCTTGTTTTACCACGAGTATTATTGAGAATCTAGACCTTCAATGGTACAACATAAAATTAAAGTATATAGGTGGATAGACCGTTACTTTCTCGATAGAAACACGTTATCGTTAATATTTATTTCTTCAAACAGAAGTCAGAGAAGTATTTAATGGATAATAATATCATAATTATAATGTGTGTGTGGACTATGAAGTGAAGAAGTTATGCATGAGATTTGAACATTGAATCACTTTTTTCATGATGGTCTGTCATGGCGATATGGTTATGCAAAAAAGTGAAATTAGTTAAAAGTCAATGCAATAATGAACAATGGGCCTTACAATTTACACTTCTCATTTTGCATTTGTTAAACAAGCATAAAGTATGGGCTGGGGCAAACATCAAATAATAAAGAATAAAGAATGGTTATAAAGTCATAAGTAGAAATGTGATACTTTTAACCTGATGCGTCACAAGATCATATCATAACATAAATTTTTCTTAATAATGAAGTGGTGTTGGAATACTTCCTCTGCTTTTAATGTAAGTCCTGATTTTTATAACATCCTTTTATCCGTAAATATAAATCCCAATAAAAGTTTTTTGATATAGTTAATATTTATTTTTTTTTTGATAGAAAATATATTTTTGTCTTGAAAAAATAAGATTGTAAAATGTATTTAATAAATTTTATTAATATGTGAGATTTTATTTAAAAGTATATTATAATTTGAGATGAAGGCAGTAATAAAAAAGTATTGAAGCAAAGTTGAAGTTAGGGATTAAGTGAGGTGAAAGTTTGAGCCTGCAAATGCAATGATCTCTTTTTAGGGATGCAGGCAAGGAGACAATGACTCTGCACAACGTTTATGATTTACTCGCTCTATTTTTATATATAAGATATTTTTAATCAAATCACGCAAACTAATAAAAGTTGATTATTTAATTACAAGCATAGCAACATTATAATTTTATCCTTAATTATTGTAAATAAAAATAAATTTTTTTAAAGTAAATTAATGAAAGCACTTATTTTTTTTCTCTTTTCAATTTAATTAGGTATGATGATCTATTTATTAAAAAATATGTTAATAATTTTTTATATTTAAGGATAAAAAAATTTAAAAAAACTTTTTATATATAAGGATGAAAGGAATTATCAATTCTGCTATTAAATCTCCTATCCCCTCTCGAGCTTTTTCAAGTAAATGCACTCTTTCTCATGGCCTTAAATAGAGAGTAAAACTTGAAAAGAAAAACTAATTTTTACGCAATATATAGATTTTGGTACCCTTTTTGATTTGTACGTGTATTTTTAAATATTAAGACCCCTGATTTTTGTTATAGGGTGTCTTTTAAAAGAATTTTTTTGTCCTCGATACTCTATAAGGAATTTGATGCTGTATTAATTATCACTTGATGAAGAATATAATACAAATTTAAAATGTTTCATTTAAATGGAGACAAAATTAAAATTTTATTTTATTTTTAAATAAAATTAATAATTTAATCACTTCTTATTAATCCTATGAGATGTTTAGAGGTGCCTTATAATAAAGATAGAAGAGTATATTTCAACTTATTTATGTTTACTAAAAAAAAGGTGTTATAATCAAATACCATAAAAGTTCTATCGGTAGGTTCCTCTTTAATCCCTTAACATAATTACTTAGTCATCCCCCACTATCCTTCATATATTTGTTTAAATTAAAACACTATTAAGCACTTAGCTGGGGGTAAATTTAAAGGGAAAAGTTAAACTTTACAGAATCAACTTCTCAAGAAATTAAGCTCCACGCTCAATGTTATTAATGGATAATGTAAACTCTAATTAATACAGTTGACATTTTTCGTCACATTAGAAAATTTTTACTTAGTACTTATCACCAACATCCCATCACACTTTTACATGAAAGTGACATTTTACATGAAAGTGACATTTTAAGAAAACATTTAAAAAAAAAAATCAATGTACTCCCATTTGATTTGGATTTTTAACCATCCTGGTTGTCTGATAAAAAATAACAACAAGTTGGGGGGAAAAATAAAGGAAAGCGCTGAAATCGGCATGAACTTTGTCATCCAATAACAGCGTTACGCGAATTCAAGCATTGGTGGGGACCTTAACCGGATACCTGTGAACCGAGTCGTCCCAGGGGTTCCCCCGCCAGTCACCGACCGGAATCATCCTCACCGCCTTCCACACCGCACTGTTACACTTAAACCCCGACCCGAAAGCGATCTGCCATACCCGATCCCCCTTCCCGACCCGTCCCTTCGCCTCCGTGTACGCCAGCTCGTACCACAGCGAACTACTAGACGTGTTACCGAACCTGTGAAGCGTCATCCTCGACGGCTCCAAGTGCCACTCACTGAGTTCCAAGTTCTTCTGCAACTCGTCCAGCACCGCCCTACCCCCTGCATGAATACAAAAATGCTCGAACGCCTTCTTGAAGTCTGGAATGTAAGGTTTCACCTTTGAATGCTTCAACACCTTCTTCCTCACCAACGACAAGAAGAACATGAATTGCTCCGAAAATGGAAGGACCAACGGCCCTAACGTTGTAATGTTCGTCTTCAAAGCGTCTCCGGCGACTGCCATTAGTTCTCTGGCCAATGAAACGCCCACCGTTCCTTTCTCATCTTCTCGCTGATAAACGCAGTTGTAGTTTTTGTCGTCTGCTCCTTTGTGGGTTCGAACCGTGTGGACTAGTTGGTATTTGGATCGGACCCTGTCGGAGGATTTGTTAGATAGGAGAATGGCGGCGCCGCCCATTCGGAAAATGCAGTTGCAGAGAAGCATAGAACGGTCGTTCCCGAAGTACCAATTCAGGGTGATGTTCTCGGTGCTGACGACAATGGCGTAGGAATTGGGGTTTGCTTTTAAAAGGTCTTTGGCTAAATCGATGGAGATTAAGCCCGCGCTGCAACCCATTCCTCCAAGATTGAAGCTTTTTATGTTGGTTCTGAGTTTGTAGTGATTGACGATCATGGCGGAGAGAGACGGCGTTGGGTTGAACAAGCTGCAATTCACTATGAGAATATCAATGTCCCTTGGCTTAACACCGGTTTTGTCAAAAAGAGCGTCCAGCGCTCCAAACATGACCTGCTCTGCCTCATAACGAGCCTCTTTCATGTTCAGGTTCGGCGGTTTAGACATAATCCCTCCGGGCAAGTACGTTTCGTCCCCCAAACCTGACCGAGTTGCGATTCTCCTTTGGAATTGAAGGGTCTCTTCTGCAAACCCACCGGTTTCCTCCGTCATTTCGAGGAACGAATCAACTGAGATTTTCCGTTCGTTTTCCGGTTTGTAACAAGCAAAGTCGACGAGGTAGACCGGTCTTGACCGGCTCGCCCTGTAGAGGCCAAAGAAGAGGAGCAGGGTGACCGAACCTGCAACGTGCGCGGCAGAATCGTTACTGTTCAGATGAACAGTATTGCAGGACCAGAGCTGGGACAAGCGGTCGAGCGCGAGACCGGTGAACTGAACCAGGAGGGAGGTGAACAAAGGCGCGACGATAGCAAACATGAGAACAGTGGCAGCGTTGCATGAATAGCCATAGCCTAGTCCTAACCTGACGTACTTGAGCTTAACGGACTTCAAGAAATCCGGGAGGCGTCGGCGGATTTTGATGACGGCGGAGGAGGAGGACTTAAAGTCCATCTCCGCCGTGAGTCTCTCTTGATCCATGACAATGCTATCAGCATTAGTATTATTAGCAGCCATTTGTGCGAGGGTTCGGATGATGAAGGAAGAAATGGTGAGTTTGGGAGGGTTTATATAATGGGCAGTGTAGAGATGGTGAACTAGAATTGAAGGAGACGGTTGAAGCACATGGAGTTAGGATATTAACCGCAAGAAAGCTAGCTGTATGAGAGGGAGCAGTTCTGTTCTTAAAAAAATTATGTACAAATTTTACACAGCAATCCAAAACTTTGCTTTATTGATTACCTTTTAAAAGAAAGTAATAGTTAACTTTATAAATTATTAAATTGATAGTAATATTTTATTTTAAATAAAATATTTAAATTATTTTTAAAAAGTAAGAGAGAGAAATAAAAAAATTTATATTATATAATTTATTTATTTTTTAAAGGTTATATTTATAATTTTTTAAATTTTATTCTTTATATTTTTATGATTTTAATATTAATAAGGTTAATATAAATAATTTATAAATATAACTAAAAGGAGTATATTTTATTGGCACTTGATAAAAAGTCAAATAAGTTGTTATATTTAATTGTGCTGTCTACAACCTCAAAATAATTTCCCCTTCCCCTCTTCATCAATCAAGTTATATGGATATTGGATAGCTCAACCACTTTTGGAAAGCTACGCTCTCCAAACTACATAATTTAAATCGTAATTCCCTTCCCTTGTTCTTTTATTATCTTTCTTTTTCCTTTTGATTTTATTTTCATTAGATTATAATGAATTTCTCTCTGACATCATCAATGTTGATATCCATTACAAATTATGCTGCTCTGGTGTTTTTTTTTTTAATCATCTTCTAAAGGAAAAACCGCCTAACATATGTGGGACTTTGAGTGGTAACACATTCTACTTATTTACACTACTCTCACCACACGTCTTATAGATGAAAATTGTACTATACCAAACAAGATAAGAATATTGTAACCCATCATTCAAATATCTTTAACTTGTAAAAATGTGTTTCGTTTGAAAATAAGTCAAAGAAGAGATAATGAGAAGAATAAGAAGTTCCTCATAGTTTTAGGTAATATAACCATGTATCAAACATAATTAAATAATGACAACAAAATTATAAAATATATGTACATAGAGTTTAATCACTACACGTTTTATTAATTCTTTATACAATATCTCTCTCTCACACACGTATATAATTTTCCTTTAAATTTTAGAGTTAATATTTGGTATGATTGTATAACTTGAAGAAATTAGCTTAGGAGAGAATATTGACTAGAGGGGCTCATGAAATCTTCGCTTGTTTCCATTTGATGGGTCATTGACAAAAGAAGGCATGGATTTTCAGTTTTTCACATGCAACTGTAAACACACAAGTGGGCCACCACCAACGTTTCTTGCGTGATTCATTCTAAAATAGATGGTAAAATAATGTTACGGGGGAACATATTATGGCATAATACACACTGTTTATTACTGTATTTACAGACTATATTTATATGTCACTTAATAAAAAAAATTAATCTTCACGATTCTTTACAGACTATATATATTATCATATATAATTAAATGATATGAAAGCTACTCAACACATTTGTATTTATAACTATTACGAGTCATAACCGTTGCATGAAATTTAAACAATGAATTGTTATATATATGAATCGTGTAAGACATACGTTTTGCTAGAATTTTTATATTATATATAAATAATATAAAAATTCATGGAGTTTTATAAACTTATGTGAATTATTAACAAAAAATATTTAGTTAATCACGACATGACAATTAAATTATATTATATTATTTTAAAAGTTCCTCACACCTATATAAATTTATTATTTATTTTTAAATATATGCAACCATAAAAATAAATTTATTATCTATTTTTAATTTCATCTTTTATATTAAAAAGAGATTTACAGTATTCGTTTTTAAATGGATTGAAATGAATTTTAAGAATTTTAATAAATAAATTATATTGTCCGTTAATAACTTGGAAAGAATATGTTATTATAAATTTTGTATTAAAGAGATTATTTTTGTTCAATTTATTTTTTTGGCCAAACTAATTTGGAAAAAAAAGGGAACGGTGGGCGAGGGAGAAAAAAGGCAAAGGTGGGACCCGAAGAGGCCAGGAACTGGTTGTCGTTGGTTGCTGGCCATAAAAGAAAATTTAATGATCTAATCGCTGCCCGTTGCTCCTCCCATATATATATATAAACGATTTAAAAATAAAATGATTCCACAAAACCACGTTTTTTAAAGCTGCTAAACACTTTTACCAGATATGGTTAACAAAAATACTTTTACCAGACGGCTTTTTCGAAGCACTTTTTTCACTTAATCCTCTAATTTTATATAAAATTTTATTTTAACTTTTTAATTTTAAAAAATATATTTATAATCATTTAACTTTAATTTCATCATAAAAAACTTTTATATTAAACTTTTAAATATTAATAAAATATTATTAAATATTAACTTATTAAATTTAATTTTTTTAAAAATCACAGTAATCGATATAAAAAATAATCATTTAAAACTATAAGTTTAAAAGTATATTTTTTAAAAATTAAGAAATTAAAATAAAATTTGATGTAAAATTATAGAATCAAAAGTATATTTTAGCATGTATTTTTATTGTTATTCAATATCTATAACTTATAAATAAGGAATTTTATAATGAATAGTGAATCTTCTATATTTAAACAAATCCATATGCGCATATCCATATGATTTGTACTTTCTAAAAAAATTATTTGATCCTCAATGTAAGACATTAATTAGAGTTTTTAAATATTATCTCTATTTAGATTTATTAATCATGAAAAAGAATGTAATATAAAATAGAACATTTTTCATTTAAATAGGAATACAATTTAAAGTTTATTATATTTTCATATAAAATTAATAATTTAAGCACTTCTCTTTAATGATTAATATATTCTTTTTTTTTTTTGGTTATTTGACAGCATATAGTATGTAATATATGCGGTTTAATGTCCTCTCAAAACAATCACATATGGATTAGCTTAAATTAGAACAGGTTTGAGGCTAAGAGGACAAATTATTGGCTACGTATAATAAATTAGTAGAAATTAAATGAATGAATGCGCACACATGCTATCAAGATTGAAGACCATAAATTCGGATTAAACCTGGACAATACAAATTTATATGCTGATCATTATTATTATTATTATTGTTGTTGTTGTTGTTGTTGTTGTTGTATTTGAGCTAACCCAGTTTTGGAACGAGATAAATTAATTAATTAAAAGTTTGGTGATAGATGGAGGAGGGAAACTGGAAACTTTTAGATCTCCTGAATTAGACCGAGCGATCATGTAATTGAAGTCAAGATGGATTGGCCAGAAAAATATAAGTAGAGATGGAGAGATGGCCTTGGGTCAACCAATGGACGAAGCGTCGCCGATACAGTTTAATTTAGATCACCTATTTTTTTGGGTACAAATATTAACTTTAATCTTCCACATGTTTCCATACAAATTATAAATAAACTCTACTTGAGACTCTTTGACTAGTAAAAAGTTCAATTCATTTTGCAAGTGTAAAAAGGAAAAGAAATCAATTTGGGCGTTGAAGGACTTGAAGGAGTGGGCATGGTTAAACAAGGAATAACGATAATTAGATTCTAAAATGATAAATTAATACCAATTAAACAGTCAATAATTTATTTTAAAAATAAATTATAAATATTAATTCAAACAGTTATAAATAATATTTTTTATTAAAATTTAAAACTTATATTTAATATTTAAATATTTATTTATAATTAAAACTTTTAAATTTATAATAATTTAGATGAATATTTTTAATTTATTTTTTTAAAAAAAATTTATTAAATACTTAATTTATATTTCATTTATTTAAAAATATAAGATATTTTTAAAAAATTAAATATTTAAAAATATAAAATATTTTTAATTTTTTTTAAAGTGTAATTATTATTTTTTTAAATATTTTTATTGATAATAATTTTATATTTATTATAGAGTATTTAATAAAAATAAATATAAAAAAATATAGTTAACTTAAAAATAGATAATTATTTTATTGGGAGATAAAATTTAATTAAAAATCTCTTAAATAAAAAATATTAATTTATTATTTTAAAATTTAACTGTCATTCCCCGTGAAATAATGGCGGGAGTCAAATACAGTCCAATTTTATGGAGACCGAGCGCCAAACGCAGGAATCTGCGTCCGTGAAAATTGCCTAGAATATTGAATCATGAATGGTATGGTTCAGACTTGAATTCAATTCTCTGACATGTACTTTCAATTTCACTGAACCTATTTATTATCTACACTTTATTTCTCGTCTTGCGACTTAAGGTAACATTATCTTCTTAACAATTCAACAAATTCAATTAGTAGTACTCTTAAAAATTTATTTTTTAAAATTTCATAAGATTGTCACATGGAACATACTCTAGTCTTAACTAAAAAGGAAAAAATTAAGAGTTAAAGAATAAAAATATCTTAAAAATTTATTTTTTGTAAGAAATGCTTGGTATTTTGAATTTTCATTTGGTATTATATCACTTTAATTTGAAATTTTTAAAAATGACACAATGTTACCCCATCATTAAATGGAAACCATTGATGGTTAAGATAAAATTTGACCAAGAATATTTCTATATTTTGAGCCTCCTTCCTGAATTCTTGTGGGGTTTCGGTCTCCAACTCTCTTTTTTTATTTCTTCCTTTTTCTCCACCTCCCATCTCCATCTCTTTGAGATTTTTCTAGGTTCATTCTCATCAAAATCAAATTATGTATAGGATAAGTATCTCCAAGTGTAAGCCAGAAAATTCGAAAAGGACAACGCATCCCTAAACAAGCATAATTGAAATTTTTGAAATCAAAACATAAAGAAATAAGTTTCTCACATGGTGTAAACAAAACTAATTAAAATTCTATAACTGCTTTCCAGTGGCAAAATCACAAGGAACCTCTTGATTGCCTTGTCCTTTAGACAACATTTACAACAGTTGGAGCATCGAATGAATTGAACATGTCCACGCCCATGCTTATTGCATCCGCCGTTCCTTCTCTTTTAAGTAGGCTCGACT